GCAGGAGTTATCCCAGAGCTGAACCCACCACTGAGGCAGCTATAAACCCGCCTTGGCATATGGATATCCTACCCCACAGACAAGTATTTACTCACTGTGATGCTATTCGCAACAGCACTGGAAATGACCTAGATGTCCTCCGGCTATGAATGAGCACTGAAAAGATAGCACACATACACACTGGAGTACTACTCAGATGTAGAGGAAATGAGATCTGCAACTTTGCAGGTAAAGGGATGAAACCAGAGATCAGATGAAGTAGCCCAGACCCGGAAAGAAAAATGTTCACATGTTTTCTGTCACTGCGGGCTCCCAGATCCAGTTTTCAGATGTAGTACATAGTCTAGAATAGTTGCAGAAACTGGGAATGTAAAACAGGACCATGGGCAGGAAGGGGTGTTAGGATGCAGTAGAGAGACCAGCGGGAGGACGATATGAACAGGAAAACAGTAAAGAGGGTCTTTAAAGAGGGTGAGTGGGGAGCGGGAAGGAAAATAGTGAGCTACAATCGGGAAGGAGGGAGGTAAAATATTAGTATGGATGGCCGAAAGAGACACAGGAATCATACTATTAACTACTTACCGTAAAACAAAGGTCTATAACATGTAATTCAGGGTATAAATACATATAAAAAGTTTTAATGAACTTTTCTCATCTGAGCTGATAGCTTTTTCTTCAAGAATCAAAGACCACCTAACAAAATCTCCAACAGAAGACATGAGAATCCCCCTTGAGTTGACCTAGGCTGCCTGAGAGATGCTCCTGCATATGGCCTATTGTTGCCCTTCACTACCCCCGTTGTGGTAGAAGGTAAGTCCCTATCTATGGCTAAAGACATCATGCACTTTAGAAACAGGATCCAGAGACCCCTGAACTGGATGATCTGAATGAACCTTCCCTGAGGACTGGCTTTCATGGTACCAGAAAGTACCATGTACTTTCGGAAGAGAGGGGCTACAAAAAGTCCTAATCAGCTGTGATGCCCATGAACCACACCAATGACCAGCATGACAAGACAACCCTTTGGATGCAGTAGTGGCACACATACCCTGGCAGTAACCAATGGTCTCTAGTTGGACTTAAGACCCGCTCAACAAGAGTAAGACCATGCCTGGTACTGGAACCCTAGCTAACTACTCAGTGCCAGTGAAGTGGTGGTTATTGGAGGAGAATCTACAACCACTAATTTACTAACCCAGCATAATGCCTAATATCAGTGCATAAACATTGGCCCTTATGCTCACAGGTAAGTGTAGTCGTCACCCCTCGTTAGGGAAACTTCTTGTAACAGATGGAGATGACTACAGAACACCACAACCAAGATGTGAGTTGTGGAGTCCAGCCCAATGGTTACCACTACAAAACACTCCCACATCTAAAGTTCAAGGGACACTGTAGAACAGGAGGCAGAAAGGTTGTAAGAACCAGAGGATCAGTGACTTTGTGTGAGAGTCTAGTTATACCAGATTCATAGCTATACCCACAAAAATCTTACCAGCATGGCCACCCAAACTGCATGGGAGAAAGCCCGTGAAGCCTCAATCCTACACAAAGACCTATGGGAACGGAGGAAAGCCAGGAGCGGGAGAGATGACATTCCTCCATGGAACAGCACACCAATTGGCTGTCCAGTGCCTAATGGTCATCCATGATAACATACATACAAGTAACAGGTTATATTTAGGAATATATATGGAAACACACATGCATGCACACACACATATGCATGTAATAACAACTGGTAAAAAAAGAGGCCATGAATTTGAAAGCGGGGGCAAAGGGTATGTTAGGGTCTAGAGGGATAAAAGGGAAGGCAGAAATATGATTAAAACACAATCTCAAAAATAAACAGCAAAGCCGGGCGGTGGTGGTGCACGCCTTTAATCCCAGCACTCAGGAGGCAGAGGCAGGCGGATCTCTGTGAGTTCGAGACCAGCCTGGTCTACAAGAGCTAGTTCCAGGACAGGCTCCAAAACCACAGAGAAACCCTGTCTCAAAAAACCAAAAAAAAATAAAAAATAAAAAAAAAATAAAAATAAACAGCAAAAAGGGAAAACCTAAAATACATGGAATTCTGTATATATATATATTTACGTATGCACATTAATTTTAATGAACTTTTCTCTTCTGGGCTGCCAATGCTCCCTCTTAGAGCAAAATACCACCTAATAAAACTCCTAATACAAGACATGAGAAGTCCTCCTTTTAGCTGATAGTCATGGTTGTTCAAGAGACTCCCAAAACATATGGCCTACTGCCATTGCCCTTGATTGCCACTGTGGGGTGGAAGCAAGTTCCTACTGCTGAAAACATTATGGCCTTCAAAAACGGCACAGAGACCCCTGAGCTTGAATTTACCTGCATGCCTGCTCTTTGACAATTAGCTTTCATGGTGCCAGAAAGCACTATAAACCCTTCTAAAGGAGGGAGGCAGTCAAAAGTCCTACCCAGATATGATGCCCATGAACCACATCAATGACAGCATGGCACAATAACCCCACAGCAGCAGTTGAGGCACACACACCTTGGTAGTAACCAACAGCTCTCTAACTAGACTTAAGTCTGGTCAACAAGAGAGAAAACATGCCTGTTACTGGCAACCCAGCCCATTACCCAGGGCTAGTGCAGTCATGGGTCTTGGAGAAGAACCTACAACCACCACTTTACTAAAGCAGCACAGTCCTTAACAACAATCTAGCAACATTTGTCCTTCCACCCACAGACAGCTGTAGTCTTCACTCCTCATGAAGGAAACTCTCTTTGCAACAGATGGAGACCACTACAGAAAACTGCAACCAATCGAAATATAGTCATGATCTCAGTACCAATGGATGTGTTACTAAAACACTCCAGCATCTAAAGGTCAGGGAACATTGTGGAATAGGGTGAGGAAAGATTGTAAGAGTCAGAGGATCAGGGAGTTTGTTCTGAGATTGTATTTCTAGTAATAACAGAAGCTACACCCATAAATTCTCATCAACGTGACTGTCTAAACATGAGCTGAACAAGGACAACAACAGACATGCCAACAAGGATGTGGGGAAGTTCAAAGGCTTTAACCACACAGAAAGAACTACAAGCAACTAAGACATGTTGGGAGCAGGAAAACATTCTTCCAGGGAAGAGCATACCCAACTGATAACCCAACACCAGTCAGCCCTGAAAACATACTTAAAGTAACATTATACAGACAGAGTGGGTTGGTAGAAACATGCATATACATATGCAATGACAAGTATTAAAAAAGAGGCCATTAATTTGAAAGAGGACAAGGAGGAGTATTTAGAGAAAAGGTAGAAATATTATAAAATTTATAAAAATATTTTATATAAAATATGTTTTATATTAAAATATATCAAAAATTTTAAAAGGCTTTAAGGGGGCATGGCTTTAAGAGGGTTTCTCCTTTAAATAGTTAGAAAGAGGAACACTGAGGTTTCATAATACCTTTTTAAAAATTATCTGTTTCTTTTTTGAAAAAGGATGTTTAAGGAGAAATATGGCCATACTACCTATTTATTTTTTGATGTTAAATAACCAACTTCTACAAACCAAGTATGCAAGTAATCATCTGCAGCAGCTACAGACATGGGGTGCAGGGTGCAGCAGCTACAGACATGGGGTGCAGGGTGCAGCAGCTATAGACATGGGCTATGGGGTACAGGGTGTAGCAGCTACAGATATGGGGTGCGGGGTACAGCAGCTACAGACATGGGGTACAGGGTGCAGCAGCTACAGACATGGGGTACACAGTGCATCAGCTACAGACATGGGGTGCAGGGTGCAGCAGCCACAGACATGGGGTGCAGGGTATACAGCTATCACTTTCTTCATGGGAACACTCTCATTGGGGCTGGTTTGTAACTACAGCATAATGTCCCTCAGTTGAATGACATATCAATAATCACCTGCTAGCTTAGTACTCGTTTGTCTCCCTTTACTGATTTGGATTTTACCACTGCTAGTCTAGTAACATCTTCTCAATGTAACTTTCCTGCTACTACTGTATTTTTCATCTTTAATCCATTTCTGACTCAGTGGGTTTAACATGGGACACCAGCTAATTTTGCTGACAGAAAAGAAAAACTAATTCCTCCTTATCACTCCCAGTGATTGCAACCTGTCCTTAGACGATGTTCCCAGCCTGTTTGATGATTTTCTACTACTGCCTAATTCACACACCGAGGGTTCCTGCAGCCTAAGGAACTGTGCATGCTAAGCAAGACTCTCCCCTGAGCCCCAGCCCTTGGCTCTTGTCAGAACTCATCACTGCCCCATCCTCTACATATTTCATTTGTGTACGCATTCTGTTCAAATGTTTATGACGACTCTTTGTCACTGTGCCTCATTTTACCATTTCATTCAAGCAGAGATTGAGAGAAATTATTATTAATCCTTTGTATAATCCCCCGTAGTGAACACAATGCTTTAAATAAAAGTAATATTTGATACTGTATTGGCAGGTTTTATGTCAGCTTAACAAGCTAGAGTCATTGGTTGAGGGAGCCTCAATTGAGAAAATACCTCCATAGGATCTGGCTGTAGACAAGCCTGGAGGGCATTTTCTTAATTAGTGATTGATGGGGGAGGACCCAGTCCACTGTGAGTGGTACCATCCCTGGGCTGGTGATCCTGGGTTCTATAAGAAAGCAGGTTGAGCAACCCAGTAAGCAGCCCTTCCATAGCCTCTGCATCAGCTCCCGCCTCCAGGTTTCTGCCCTGATTGCCTTCTATGATAAACAATGATGTGGGAGTGTAAGCCAAATAAACCCTTTCCTCCCTAACTTGCTTTTGGTCATGGTGTTTCATCCCAGCAGTGGTAACCTGACTAAGACAGATAAATATTAGTGATTAACTAGACAGAAATATCATACTAAATTTCCCCAGTTACCACCTAAGCAGAGTCCAAAATAGCATACATTTTTTTATTTCTCTTTGGGTGCCTAATTTGATTATACCTTCGACCTGAAGGGGTGGGTGGGGGCACAAGGTGGTATTACCTTAGGCATCCAGTGACATTGTAGAATATATCAAAATCCAGCAAGCCATTTGCTTTGGGGTAGTCTCCTTCGGGCCACCCCGAGAAGGGGATGACGACACTCTCTGTCAGGGTGAGCAAGGCTTCTGTTATCATGAGGTGCTTGAGCTTGTCATTAGAGGACAAGTTCCAGAGCAGACCTAGGAAAACAGCAACAATGAGAACAGTGCTCAACACTCAAGACCAGGCCGCCAGCTTCAGGACTATGAATGGGTACTTAAAGCAGGGAGCAGGGTGTTGACCTGTTTGGATGCTAACAGAAATGGATTCCTAAGATGATTATCGTGAAATATGCAAAATCATGCAGGTTCAAATTAACCAGGAGTGCTAATGGAATAGTGTGAATTTGAAACATCCCCACAGGATCATGTTTTGAAGCTCACCTCCCATTTCGGGAGGCTGGCTGAAGGAAGTAGGTCACTGGGGCAGGTCATTAGTGGATTATTATCTCTTGCTCCTTCCTTGCTCTGTGTTTTCCACCATGTGAAGAAGCAGCTCCATGACTCCATTCCCATCACGATGGACTATAACTCTTGACGCTCTGAGCCCAAATAAACTCCCTTAAGTTACTTTTGTTTGCCATATAAGAAAAGTAACCAATGCATACTGAAGCTTTTATTGCTATTTATTTTACAGAGCCTACCACCAAGCTGACCTCACTGTGTGATAACATACTCTGGGTTCACAACACGGAGCTGAGAAATAGCTGTCCTGTAACTACTATTTCAATGGTTTAAAGGATTTTTTTCTTTCCATGAAACAGAGAGGGTCAAGCAATGTTCCTAACGGCTGCTCCTCACTATCTGTGAACTTGACCCACTATTTTCTGCCCCATTCAGGGAAGGAGTACCTGCAGAATGTTCTATTCCACTGCGGTAGCTGATCAACACTCCAGGTAATGCCTGCGACTGCTCTCAGGGATGGGATCTGTGCCCTTTGCTAAATGCCCTTTATTCGTCTTTTAGAGCTCAGCAGTGGGAGACGAAGAGCACTGCATCTTATCTCTCCACAGGTTATAGTCAACTGCGATTTTCACTTTCCCCTCGATGCTATTATTGAAGGGAAAGGTTGGCTAGTCAACCAGAAAAAAATTAAAATAATAAAATACCAGGTTATTCAGCGCATTTACACATAGAAACTGGGACTTGGTGCTGAAAGACAACAGAAAATCACATATACAAGTAAGATTTTAAAAAATGTAGCTCTGATACCCAAATACTTCTCCATGGGAGAACTCCACTGTTTGCTGTGACAATGGTTCTGCCCATGTGTAACACTGTGTCATTCTTTTGTTCCCCAACAGTTTGCTCCAACTCACTACCATCCAGGAAAAGGCACAGGGAGGCCCGAAAAGAGAAGGGTGATTCTTCCTTTCCTAGCTTACCCTCCTCCATCCTCCCAGTAAGTAATTCCTACTTCTTAAATGCACTGCACGGAAAGCACAGATAGACAGGGTATCTACTTTATGATAGGTAGTACCATCTCCTTTGATTTTAATGACTGAATTAATGGTCTATGTAGTTAAAGCTTTATAATTATTTGATATGATGTATCCAATCAATTAAAATACATTAGGCCTAAGGTTTCAGGCTTAAACAGTTTCCTTTGGTTGTGTATAATAGCTAATCTTTGAAACAGCAACCAGATATTCACGCAGCCTACACATAGCTTCCATTAGAAATGGTCACGGTAGGACTGATGTCTGCTGAGAACAGGATTTCTGGACTGCAGGAAGTCTTTTCCTGATCAAACTAGTATGTGGGGTTAGTCGGGAGCAGTGTCTCAGCCGTGGGTGCTGCAATACAATGGCTCCGTCCCTCTCACTTCATCTTAAGAGGCCCTGGAAGGGGGACAGAGAGAATAAAACTCAGAAGGTAGTTGGAGACAATGTAAAGGCAGGCCTGACGTTGAGTTTTGGTTACTAAGCTACGAAAGAAAAGAGGAGAGAAACAGGAGAGAAAGTGAGAGAGAAGGGCGGGGTGGCGGGGGAGCACAGATGAACCGGACTTCCTTGAGTTCAAAATAAGCAAACAAATCAACAAGCTTCTCTGCTTGAAAATCTCACACACAATGAAGTTTCCTCTTCCTACAAAGAACCACACAAAGCACTCATCTTACATAAAAACCAAAGAGGATTACTTTCAACAAGGGAACGGAATTTTCCTTTAACAGTCAATATACATTCTTTCTAGCTTGACATGCTACATTATTTCTACAGACATATATAATTTAGGAAGTCTTGGTGTAATTAAAAAATTAATGTAGGATAATGCATCACTAGGTCAGGGCCACCAAATTTCTGGATGACATGACACCAGAGAAAAGTGTTCTTTGGAGATACAGTTATGCACAGACCCGTCCGGACATGCTCAAACAAACTCAGCAATCAACTAGAAACAGGGTAAGTACTTAGCACAAAGCTTAAAGATGTTCGGGCCACTATACACAGGGATGCTTGCTGCAGTCACTGAAGAAAGGCTGAATTAAATGGATGAACACCCTCTGTGGGTACAGGAGGCAAAGCCAGAATCACCAGCTGAAAATTTAAGGAGAAAAATTTTGGGGGACCACTCTGCAGAAACCAGAAAGACCCACTTAAAAGATCCAGCTTTAGAACTTAGGTCGGTAAAAAATTAGCTCACTTCTTCCTGAAATGTTAAGAAGGATTTTTATCCCTTGGTTATTGTTAGACTGGAAGTTTGTGAAGAGGACAGACCTGAATCTGGGCCACATTCCAGATTTACTGCACCAGAATCTCAAAATGGATTACAGGAATTCATGTTCTCAATGTAAGTTCCTGGGGGCGCACATCTATATTAAACATTCTATGAGACTGATTAAGATTTCAGTGATGGTGGTGAGTTGGGAGCCAAATTATCTCGAGTAATCTTTAGTCCCTATAATAGCCTGTTATTAACTATTGCAGATGGCCTAAAACCCCAGAGGCTTAGTTAAAATCCTTCTGGAGTATACAAATAGACCCCAGCTTCTACCAACTGAAAAGACTAAAATGCCATCAGATAGTATCTAAGATTTCCACAGATTTCTTCACTTAGCTTTAACCTACCTACCTGATGTTTGCACCAATGTGTTTAATTAATAGCTTCATATATGGCATATTGTTCTGTTATTATCAAAGGTCCATGAAATCATTACCACATTGGAGCATTTGAGTAACATAAATCTGGGTCCCAGGACATGTCAGAGAAAACTTCCTTTGGGAGGGAGCCATTCTTTTGTGTAGATAACTAAGAAAATTTTTCTAGCTGGGCTGTGCTGGTGCACACCTTTAATTCCAGTACTCTGGAGGCAGAGGCAGGGAAATCTCTGATTCAAGGCCAGTCTGGTCTATAAAGTGAGTTCCAGGACAGCTAGGGCTACACAGAGAAACCTTGTCTTGGGAAACAAAACAAAAACAAAAAGAAGAAAGGAAGAGAGGGAGGGAGAGAAAGGAAGAGAGAGGGAGGGAGGGAGGGAGGGAGGAAGGAAGGAAGGAAGGAAGGAAGAAGGGAGCATTTCTTGCTGGATCTGATGGCACTTGCTTATAATCCTAACACTGATAAGAATGTGGCAAACATTTAAGGCCCAGGCAGGGCTACCTGTCACACCTACAGAAACAACATGCATCCTTAAAACCCCCAAAATTCTGTCACTAGGAAACCAATGACCTAATAAGAGCAGGGCCAATAAAGGGAAGACTCACATCCAAGTTTTACTATGTAGCTGTGTCTATGTTAGAGCAACAGTTTCTTCCTGAGGCCTAGAAAGCACTTATTTAGTTGTTCTAGAGCCAAAGGAAATAATTTATTTTTATTTTTATTTTATTTTATTTTTTCGAGACAGGGTTTCTCTGTGGTTTTGGAGCCTGTCCTGGAACTAGCTCTTGTAGACCAGGCTGGTCTCGAACTCACAGAGATCCGCCTGCCTCTGCCTCCCGAGTGCTGGGATTAAAGGCGTGCGCCACCACCGCCCAATCTGTATCAAACGCCAAAGTTCACTTCAATTAATACCTAATTAAATGCCCTCCTGTAGGGAGGTCTGGCCTGCACTGCACCATTAGCCGTGCAGGTACCCTCTAATGCCTGGATGGTTTCTATAGCACCAGCATCACAGAATGCACTTTGACTTTAGCCTTCTTCCATCTGCACAAGAAAAGGATGGTTTAATGGATTATTTTCCTTGTCCAGTTTTCCCTGCTACTATGTTTCCTAACCCAATCACTGATTTTCAGGTTTCCTTTATGTGACCAGGAGCTGCTCCCACCTCCTCCTTTCCTAGTCACGGCCACTTTGCCGAGAATAACTGTCATTCTCCTTCAAAACTCCACTAAGACCCTTACTTCCCTTTAAAGGTCCACAATGAGACAGCCTCCTCCCAAGAGTCTTCTCTGACCATGAAGAGAATATGCTTGATTTTCCTAAAGTTCATTGCTGCCTGAAGAAATGCTGGGTTCTGAAAGGAAAGTTTGGTCTTTTAGCACACAGAGTCTCTGCTCTAGTTGAGTAGATGGAGAAACCAAACAGTTCCCCAGTTCCAGGCACAGTGCCCAACATTGAAGGTGTACTCTGAATGCGGGCTGAACGAAAGCATCACTGCTGCGTTCTGCAGATATTTTCATGGAGGTGACGGATGTGAGTGGCATCCTATAGGGGACATGCTGCATGTCTTTAAGTAGGGTATATTGGTAAAATTTTATAGAAAAAAATGAAGAGATTTGTCAAGCATGAACAGGGTGTAGGTTCAAGCCCTGATAGTAAGAAAAAAAAAAGGATTTGCCAGAACACTGGTAACTATTATTATTAATTCTTAAAACCTTTTGATAACTTTATTCTTTGAGCCACAGAATCTTTAACAGAATAACTGAGGTTTAATGCCTCACAATAGCTCAAAATCTAAAATCTTCTAGGTGATAACTACATTTCAAAATCTCTTGAGTTATAAAGGCTGCAGTAAGCAGAGTGCAGATAAGAGAAAGACAGGAGGGCTGGAGAGATGGCTCAGTGGTTAAGAGCATTGCCTGCTCTTCCAAAGGTACTGAGTTCAATTCCCAGCAACCACATGGTGGCTTACAACCATCTTTAAAGAGGTCTGGTGCCCTCTTCTGGCCTGCAGACATGCACACAGACAGAATATTATATACACAATAAATAAATAATAAAAAAAAAAAAGAGAAAGACAGGAAAAATGGCTCTTTGCATTTTGAGCAATTAGAACAGTGAACATTTCTATACCTCTCCATGGCACTCCTCTCACAGATCCAGAAAGCAGATTGTTGCATAAACACTGGGTGGACATGCTTCTCATTTTCCTTTAGAAAGTTTGAGGTACCTGGGGTAACATCCCATCCCCACGCATTCTCAAACCAGAGCTGCTGAGGAGTGAAGTTGAGTAGAATTTCCACACAGTCAATCTTGTCAACTGCTTTAAAAACATTTAGTCATAGGTGTACAGAGTTTCTAATGAAAATATTAAGCAAAAGCTTCATAATACTTTCTCCTTCAGAAGAAAGGAGCTCTGGTCTGGATATAGGCCACAGTAGCGTGGATCAATGACCCTATTCATCACGTGCTATGGGAAACCTAAGAAAAACACACGACAGAAAGCACCTGGCTGGGCACTGCCTTGCTGGGCTCTTACTGGCTAGCAGGAAATACCTGTTATTTGCTTTTTTGTCTCCAAGTCTCTGGTTTGCTTCAGCACCTGGAGTAGGCGAGGTACTCCATTCAGCTCAGCTACCTCCAACTTGTTGTCATTGTCTTCAAAAACCAAGTTCCTCAAGGCCCCACACACAGCCCGCTGGACATCTTCATTCTGGACTTTGAGCAGCTGCAGCAGCTTAGGGATGCCTCGGAGCTGATTAACCTAGGGATGAATAAATGGATATATCCCTCTTAGGAATTTCGACATTCAATATCTTAGGGACAGATGTTCGCTGATTCTAATTCTTATTAGTCAACAACTATATGTAGCCCAATATGAGACTCGTATCGTACCTGTCCGATAGGATAATCTGTCAGCGAGCTTGAAGAAGAATGGTTAAGTAACAAAGGATAGGTAAAGGGCTAAGTAGAGAGAAAAGCATTTGTTACTGAAGACTGGAAAGCAATAAACACAGGATAACCTCAGATATGGAGACGAGAAGAGTTGGATGAAAGAATGCAAAATTTCACAAATTACATGAGTACATTTTTCCAGAATAAAGTTTTATACTTGATGAAAATGAATAGGAATTACCATCAATAGTAGAAAAAATGCTTTTATTACGGCAATGTTAGCAGCCTTGAAACCTACCTCCAAACCTAAGTTACCATCAACTGCTTAGAGAACTTAAAGGAATGACATAAGCTACGTGAGAATTTTAAGTAAAAATTTTATACCCTTTAATGTGTTATTTAAAAACATTTCTTCTACCTATACATGCAAAGAGGAACATGCTGGCTACTAAGAAGAGAGCCCCAGCTAGGAAGGGAAGAGCAAAACAGACCACACAGCTGAGTATGCTAGTGCACACCTTAGTGCACGACAGCATTGTTGTAATACGAGCGGCGGGGCTGCGTCCCCAGCACCCCGGCCGCCTGGCTAGCTTATGCCCCGAAATAATTACACGGACACTGTATTCTTTTAAACACTGCTTGGCCCTTTAGCTCTAGCCCTTACTGGCTAATTCTGATATCCCGATCAACCCATCTCTAATAATCTGTGAGCACCGGTCTTACCGGGAAGATTCTTGCCTACGTCCATCCTGGGTTGGAGCTTCATCGCGTGTGTCTGCCCGGGAGCGGGGCATGGCGTCTCTGCTCCAGAGAGCAGCTGCCGAGTCTGAGCTCACTTCCTCTTCCTCCCAGCATTCTGTTCTGCTTACTCCACCCACCTATGTTCTAACCTATGAGGGCCAGCCAAGCAGTTTCTTTATTTTTTTAACCAATGACCTTCCTCCATCACAGCATGTACCCAGAACACGTGTGCCTCACTAGTGCACACCTTAGTGCACTACAGCACACCTGGAACACGTGTGCCTCACTAGTGGAAGCAGAAGGCTAGCAAGCTACAAAATGAGACCCGGTCTCAAAACAAAACAAAACCAAGAACAACAAAGATAAAATGGAAATAAATGAATTAGATTCATAGATCATGGCAGATGAAAAAAGCTGCACAGTGAACAATGTCAACTGGAGCAGTAATTTGGTATTTTAGGCTGCAAATACCATAAGAGAAATCAAAAGGCAGACGCGTCATCTGGACGGCCGGCTTGTGGTCTGACAGAGTCCTCATCACTGCCTCCATTGACATCTGACGGTTAAATGTTCAAGTTGGCCACGGGGTTTAGTGCAGATCGTGCTCATTTGCATCATCCCAATGTAGATGCTCTTAGGAAGCCAGCTTTCATGACTGACCCTGGGTTTTGCTATCATATGAGGCACACAGGTACCTGAACGGCCAGTTCTCCCACAACAATCCACCAAGATGTCATTGTCATTCTTAGCGTCTTTGTCTCAAACACAAGGCACTCAAGTGTCAAAGAAACATCACTAGAGTTTTAATCACACGTTGATAGTGGAAGAGTTCAATACCCCACTCTCGCCAATACACATGTCATTCAGACAAAACCTAAACAGAAATGCTGGAGCTAGCTGACTTTATAAACCAAATGAACCTAATAGATATTTACAGAACAGTTCACCCAAACATAAAAGAATAAATATACCTTCTTCTCAGCACTTTATGGAACTTTCTCCAAAACTGACGACATACACATACAAAAAAAAAAAGTTGAAATAACACCCTGCGTCAAATCTGACCAGCACAGATTTAAGCTGGATATCAACAACAACAGAAAGAATAAACTCATTAAAACTGAACACCTCAATACTGAAAGAAAATAGGTCAAGGTAGAAATTAAGGAAAAAATTAGAAACATTTTAAGAATTGCATGAAAATGCATATAAAACATACCCAAACTTATGGGACAAAATGAAAGCAGTTCTAATCTAAGAGGAAAGTTCATAGCATTAAGTGCCTACATAAAAAAATGGAGAGTTCTCATATTAGTAAGCAAAACTCTAGAAATAACAGACAAAAGGAGTGGAAGGCAAGAAATAATCTCAGGAGGACTGAAATCAATAAAATAGGAACAAACAAACAAAATACAGAGGATCAATGAAACAAGGGACTGGTTTTTTGAGAAAATCAATTGAGATTGACAAACCCTTAGCCAAACTAACTAAAAGGCAGAGAGAGAAGATCCAAGTTAACAAAGTTGGAGACAAAGAGCAGGGCATTAACAACAGACAGGGAGGAAACCAGAGATCCAAGGACATATGTTAAAGGCCTGTACTCCTAATAGAAAAATCAAATAGAAATGGACAGTTTTCCTGATTTATATCACTTACCAAAGTTACAGTAATATCAGATAAGCAATTTTAACAGTTCTATACCTCCCAGTGAAATAAAGCAGTAAAAAGTTTTCCAACCAAAACAAACAAACAAACAAAACAAACAATCCCAGGGCCAGATGGTTTTAGTAAAGAATTCTACCAAACTTTCAAGGAAGAATTAAAGCCAATACTTCTCTAAATTAGTCTACAAAATATAAAGAATATACAAAGAATTCTATAAAACTCTACAGAATGGACATTGCCCAATTCATTTTATGAGTCCACAGTTACTCTGATTACTCAACCACATAAAGACTCAAAAAAAAAAAAAGAAAGATAATTACAGAGCGATTTCCCTTATGAATACAGGCACAAAAATTCTCAATAAAATATTTGCAAACCGAATCTAAGAACACATCAAAAAGATCATAAATTGATAAGTGTAACCCACGATATAAACAAAGAAAAAAATGACCATCTCATTAGGTGCAAAAAAAGGCATAAGAAAAAATGAAACACTCCTTCATGATGAAAGTCCTGGATAGATTAGGGATACAAGGGCCATAGCTAAACATAATAAAGGCAATTTATAAAAAGCCCATAGATGTAAGTAGTGAGAAACTTGAAGAATTTCCACTAAAATCAGGAACAAAACAAGTTTGTGCACTCTCTCCATACCTTGTCAGTATAGTACTTGAAGTTCTAGTTTTATTGCTAGAGCCATAAAAGAACTGAAGGAGATCAAGGTGATATAAAGTAGAAAGGAAGAAATTAACGTATTTTATTTTCAGATAATGATAGTATACAGAAGTGGCCCTAAAAATTCCACTGGGAAACTCCTACAGCTGATAAACACTTCGGGCAAAGTAGCTGGATACAAAATTAACACACAAAATTCAGTAGCTCTCCTCCCATATAACAATAACAAACATAATGAGAAAGAAATCAGGAAACACCTTCCATAATAACCTTAAAAATATAAATATCTTGAGGGTAACTCTAACCAAGCAAGAGAAAAGTCTTGTATGATAAATATTTTAAGACACTGAAGAAAGAAATTGAAAAAGACTTCAGAAAACGGAAAGATCTCCCATGCTCATGGACCAGTAGACTTTATATAGTAAAAATGGTCATGCTACCAAAAGCAATGTAAAGATTCATTGAAATCCCCCTCAAAATTCCAAAGCATTTTTTCATAGAACTTAAAAGGACAATTTTCAGCTTCATGTGGAAACACAAAAAGGCCAGGTTGGCTAAAATAATTCTGAAAAATGAAAGAACTGCTGGAATTTTCACATGCCCAATCTCAAATTTTACTGCACAGTTACAGTGATAAAAACAGCATGATACTGGCAAAGAAACAGACATGTTGATGAACTCAATTGTACTGAAGACCCAAAAATAAGTCCACATACCTATGGACACCTGATGTTTGATAAAGAAGCCATAGATACACCCTGGGAAAAAAGACACCATCTTCAAAAACTAGTGCTGGTCAAACTGGATGGCTGCACACAGAAGACTCCAAATAGATCAATACTTATCACCCTGCACAAAGTTCAACTCCAAACGGATCAAAGATCTCAACTTAAGACCACATACACTGAATTGGATAGAAGAGAAACTGAGGAATAGTCTTGAACGCATGGCACAGGAAAAGACTTTCTGCACAGAACACCATCAGCACAGGTACTAAGCACAACAATTAACAAATAGGAACTCATGACGCACAGAAAAGCTTCTGTAAAGCAATGGACACTATCATTTTAACAAATGGCAGGCTACCAAATGGGAAAAGATTTGTACTACATATATATTGCAATGAGTCTTTCTCCGTCCTGACAGCCAGCTCCCAAATATATATTAATGTCACTTATGTGTGAGTGCTGGCTGTTAATTCTTCAATAAGCAGGCTGTAATTCCTATAACCACAGAGGTTAGGTATAGATTAAGGGACTAGGGATGGATCTCCCTAGGAGTAGGAAATAGAATAGATATAGATGGATGGGTGTGGGTGGTTACTGGAACAGGAGGATCAAATAGGATAGGGGAGGGAGGAGGGGGAGAAAGAGAATATGGAGAGAGAAAGCTAAAACTAAGTGCCATTTTAGGGGTCGTATGAAAACCTAACAAGTAGAAGCTTCCTAAAATATATACATAAAGTCATCCTAAATGAAACTGCCAAATAACAGGGAGACAGAGCTCCAACTGGACGTCTCTCATCACCACATGAAGCTTCCAGTGCCAAGAGTGGGTTACATCTCATTGTATTTGTCTTAGCAAGGCTTACTATTGCTGTGATGAAGCCCCACAAACAAAAGCAAGTTGGGGAAGAAAGGGCTTATTTCACCCACAGTTCCATATAACAGTCCACAATCAAAGGTGGGGAGGGCAAGAACTCAAGCAGGACAGGAACTGGAGGCAGGAGCTGATTCAGAGGCCAAGGAGGGGTGCTGCTTACTGACGTGCTTACTATAGTTTGCTCAGCCTGCTTTCCTATGGTACCACCATAACCCAGGACTATGGTACCACCCACAGAGAGCTGGGCCCACTGACATTAATTAAGAAAATGCCCTAGAGGCTTGCCTACAACCTGATCCTATGAAAATGTTTTCTCAACTGAGGTCCCCTCCTCTCAATGACTGTAGCTGTGTCAACTGACATAAAACTATTCAGCACAGCGTTCCTGGCCAAAGGGATCCTGCGAGAATGCTCTAACAACCCAGGCTATGGAAATGCATATTTACTGCTCTCCACAAATTGACAGTGAGGTCCTATCGCTGAGGACAACACCTACACAACTCACTAAACACGGGGAAGTCGGGGTACCTACCTAGAACCTTCACCCCTACTGAGTAGCCTTTATGATACTGGGAGGTACCGCGCACACTACCAGAGAGAAAGGTAAACCAGTCCAGCCACAAACCCTGCGATCTATATTATATGCTGGCATGATAGTGGGCCAAAGCTTGTGGGGGTAACCAACCAAGACCTGATTTGATTTAAGGCCAAGAACCTGAGACTAGATAGTCCAGGGACCTAGAGGAAAATCAAAAACTACTGTTCTGCTAAAGGAACACAGCAATAAAATTGAGTCCTAATGACATTCTACTATACTAATAGATCAGTACAGCTTACGATCTCCCTAAATTACCTATGTCGGCAAGAATGAGCTTGGTTTCTGATCTCCCTGTCTTCGCCCTAGTGCTAGGATTAAAGTGTGCGCCAGCACTCCTGACTTGTACAGTGTTGGGCTGCGTGTGCATTAGAAGCACAGTACTGGGTTTGCTGTGCAGGGTCAACACACCACCAATGGCTTGCTGGATTTGACACGGGGCTTAGTGGATACTCACTCTTTTCCGGGCTTCGGACTTTTGGAAGCTCTCATGCTGTATAAACGTAGCTGCGGCAGAAATCCTGGGCAGTGGTACGCGGTCTGCGTCGAGCATATTCACAGCTCTCTCCAAGGTCATCTCCACGTCTGCATTCCTAAACGAAGAGCCGCAGATTTGGTGAGAAAGCTAACCGTGCCCTCTGAGTGTCCAGAAGGGACTTAACTAGAATCAGCAACAGCTGCAACATCTGCACTCTAACTTCTCCTTCGCCTAAGAAACGTCAGCACCGGAAAGCAGAGGGTATCAGGAACTAGTGGCGGAATTTCTCTACTTCTCCTTAGACTGGTCTCTGGGATGTTGCAGAAGAGAGAGACAAAGAGATGCAACTCTCTAAGATAAATAGGATGATAGTTATATAAAAAAAAAATGTCCTGGTCCCCTTCTCTCCGCCACGGTAACGGAGTTATCTGGGGCTTGATGTGCAATCTCTCCTTTATTAATGGCATGTGAGGTGATGTCATGTCGTTGGGCAGAGAGAGGCTCCTTTATTGAAGACATGACTTACGAAACAGCAACCCCGACTGACTCACAGAGCAACACTTTGCTCTCCTTTTAATTCCTGCTGGGAAGACAGGCTAAGAGGGACATGGCTGCATCTAATTCATTCCAAGTAAAACAAACACCAAAGACATCCCGGGAGGTTGTTTTCTAACATCTGCTAGTTTATAAGTTCAATGCAGAGGTGAGGCAGTGACCACAGTGAGCAGTGCAGGGCAGGTCACAAGGTGACCACAGTGAGCAGTGTCCCTGTGTGCTGGGGGTGTGCAGAGGTGAGGCAGTGACCACAGTGAGCAGCGTAGGGCAGGTCACAAGGTGACCACTGTGAGCAGTGTCCCTGTGTGCTGGGGGTGTGCTGAGGTGAGGCAGTGACCATGGTGAGCAGTGTGGGGTAGGTCACGAGGTGTCCACTGCGAGTGGTGTCTGTGTAGAGGTGAGTGTGCAGAGGTGAAGCAATGTAATATATTTTCTGTAATATATTTTTATACATAGAAGTTCAGAATATGCCACCTCAAAGTATAAAGTTCTGGCTGCTGTTTATGTCTGGCTGAGCGGCATATCATGAGTATAAAGGTATTTAAAGAAAAGCAGAACACTGCTGGCCTCTATATTGAGAATTATATAATGACCTCATATTTGAAAATATACTTCAGGAGACAATTATAATCAGTTTAAGAAAAAGGGGAGGGCAGGCCAGAGCTAGGGTTCAGCCTGTCATGCACACAGCCCTGTGTTCAATCCCCATTACCAGTGTGGTAGCACAAACCTATAATCCCCAGTACTTGGGAGGTAGAGGCAGAAGGAGCAGAAGTTCCAGGCCAGTTGGGCTACCCAAATGACACTTCTGGAGGCCCAAAGAATGTGACCTGATCGATGGGTAGGGAGCTAGGTGGGAGATCAGAAAGAACAGCTGTTCCCTGGCTCCTGTCTTCTAAACCAGAAACTCAAAAAGTGAGTCCTTCAGCTTCAGTTATGACTCTCGGTGTCATTGGGCTGAGGAGAGAGCTTGACGATAGCATGCTTCCATGGCTTCCATGGCAACACACAGAAAATAACAAACAGCAGGAAGAACATAAAATGCTATTGGTCAGACTAAGAGTCACTTTAGAAAGTACCCGCTCATTTTCTGCGTGTGGAATGTCCAACTTACATTCCTGCCCCAGTTTGCCCCAGTCTGGCTCTCCTGACATAGCATACGGTTACATCTCTGAAGTCATCAAGCTGCTGCAAGTGTTCTCAAAAGAAGGGGAAAATCACCCGGCTGCCCAAGGTGTGGCAAGAACGCTGCTGTGAAACATGACTCATTCCTATTAGAGCAAAGGTCAGAGACGGACACTTCCGAGAGCACAGCAATAGTCTGAGCTGAAGCAAGAAAGCAAGCCTTCAACCGGGAAGTCTAATAGGAAGAAGCAGGTGGGAAGGAGATGGGGAGGCGTGAATCCTCAGCAGCCCTAACTGCTGTCTGTCTGCGTGGCGTGCTCAACGGAAATGAAAGTAGGGACAAGGAAGATGGCGAACAATCTGGTTGTCATTACATAACAAAAGAACAACTAATGTTTTGTCATAAATTATTAATTAAAATAGGAGATAGAGGTATAAATAAGAACAGCAAACTCTTTGAAGTTCAGAATATGTCACCTTATTGTAAGCATTTTCAGTTACTATGTCAGGCTGAAGGGCATTTGGAAACAGTAGGTAAGGAAGGAGCCTTCCTGTTCCACTTAAATCAGGCCATAGAACTTCCCTGGAGAAAGACACCGTAGCACAGGAGACTAGGGACCAGGCTGAAAGAGCCACACAGAGGGTTAAAATGACACCTCTCTTCTGCTAGCTTTCTGAGACAGCTCCTGGTCTCTGCTCCTCGGCTCACTACCTACCCAGAGCCTCTTCCTCGTGCTATGCACAGTTTGTCTTGGGTTAAAAAGGTACAAGACACAGGGTCCTTTGGGACCTACTTCCTTTCTACAGGCTTCTCCTTTATATGTTAAAGATGAGGACATATGATTTCCTATTGTTAAAATAATAATTAGAATAAACACGATGTGGAGGATAGTCAGCGTGACCTGTTCTCTGCTCTCAAACTTGGCTGGTGATTTGCCAGAGATCCACTCTCTCCCTAGTCTCCCTTACCTGGTCCCAGGGTGCACTGCTCTGCATTCTGGGAATCATTTGGCACAGAGCTGTTGCTTACAGCACACCTTGCTGATTTCGCTGCCCCTCTCCTGAACACTCATCCAAGCCATTTGTTTTTTCTCTCTATGGGCTTTACAGCAGGGCAGCGTGCATGGGAAGTGTCTAAGATTCACTTGTTGAATTATTCAATTCTAAGAAGTATAGAAATCCCATTTTTAAAAAACTCCACATAGAGTTTGTCACTTGGTGATTTTTATAAAACCTTTCTCACTAGTCTGTCGTGGACAGGTGGTGAGTGCCTCCTCTAGCCCCAGACTGCCCAGCTGCACCAGCCACCACCTGACTGGCACCCTTCCATTCTTCCGGGAAGACAAACCCATAGTTTACTGAGCATCCAAGTGTGGATTTCTAGCTGTTTCTAGGTAGTCCAGAGGATGCCCCACATATGTCCATATTCAAAATACTTGGCGGGCATAAAAAGGGAGAGCCTGGAAAGGGACTGGCCAGGGTGAAATGCGGAACAATGGCGTAAGGGTGGAAGACCCGTGTGCAGATGTGGGCGAGTGTCTCTGGGCTCAGCCAGGAGCTCTGGATGGAGCAGGAGTGCACCAGAGCGGAGGACTGTGCCATCGTTGGCTTCCCAGTCAGAGGAATGCCTTCTTCTCCTTCCCAGAGGAAGCAAAACTTCCCTTCAGAAATCAGAGTTACCTCCCAGTCTCCAGAACTTGAGAATCTCAGGAAGTAATTATCCTTTGAAATATAATTAAATATTGTACTAAACTACACTGACCAGTAAGACAATTTCCTGACACAACTACGGCTTTTAGCCTTAGTTATTACATCTCACTCTTCTTTCACGACACGTTTTTACAGTGCCTGCTATGGACCTGCCTTGCTCTCAGGGTGCTGACAACAGAAGGATGAACTGGACGTTAGCAAAAAGCTGAAGGCTAGGGGTACCAAGTTAATGCATAAACACAATGTAAAATGTGAGGCGGGTTCGGGAGGCTCACCCGAGCTGGACATCAGTGAAGGTGCTCCTCTCCCGGTGCGCATCCCCGCTGCCCACAGCTGCCTGGCCCGCAGTAGGCAGCAACCTCCCTGGGTCCTGCAGGGTGCTGCGGACTGAGCTTCGGGGCCAGGAAGAGCGGGCGGCTCTGCTTTGTGCACCCAGAGGCCGAGCCTGGGTCACGCGCACGGTCTCTTCCAGCAGGCTGCCTGCGCTGTGGCTGGTGCCTGGTGGATGGGGAGGCATCGTGGGGTTGAGTGGACCATTGTCGAAGACAGCATCGCTGAACGACCCGCTCACGGGTGGCCTGCGGACGGTGCCCGCCTGGCGAAGGCTCAGGATCTCTGAGCGTGCATAGCGTGGCAGGGTAAGGCGCCCACCGGGCACATGGCCCTGGCTCCGCCAGGCAAACTGGTATTCACTGTGGGCATAGCGAGTCCTTTCCGGGCTGCTATTTGGGGAAATCTCAAGTCTCCTCAGAGGTTGCCTCCAGGACCTCTCCTCCACTGACTTCTGGGAACTGTATTGTGCTGTTCCTCTCCCCCAGCGACTTCCGTAAGTAGCACTCATTCCAGACTGTAGGAGAGAAATAAAATTTAAGTTAAGTGTAATAACTGATCTTGGAATTACAATTTAACAAGTTGATTTTCTTGAATAAGACGGAAGTCAGTCCCTTTGAATAATAAGTCAGTTCCTTTGGGTTGTCTTGAGTCATATTTATTTGTACTTAGGATTTAATATCATCTAAACTTTTAAACTTTAAAGTCCCAGTTTTCCATAATGTTCACACAACTTTTCTCAAAATCTGGGAAATGAGATGGAGCACTTTAGAAAATAACCCTCCCTGACCAAAAAAAAAAAACCCCACAAAGTCTGAAATGGTGTTCCTGACAATCTAATCAGTTACGTCCTCTGGTGTCCCCACCTTTAGCATGTCATAGTCCCTGGTGACAGGTGATCGCCTTCCAACAAAGTCATTCTCAACCAAGTGCAGTTTGTAGACATACTCAGGGACACTGCTGGTTCGGTGAAGATTCCCTGAAATGAAGACAATATGAAGATAATTTAGAATATAAATGTACCAATCGACAATTACTGAATGCATGACAAGCATCTAAGTTTATATCAGGTGTTTCTAAATGCTGGTTGAAAGTTGTCATTTGGAAATGACAAATGATCAAAGGTTATCAAAACATTTGTTGGGTGTTTCCAAGTGCCAGGAAGTGCAGGCTTGCAATGCTGAAGTCCTGATCTCTCTCTTTCTGAGTAGGGACAGCCGAAATGAAATCAAGCAAACTATAAAAGCCAACCAAACAAACAAAAACCCCATACTAAACAAGAAAACCGTGGAAAGTCCAAACCAGTATAAATCAGAGAGTTTCATGAAAATCCAACACTGTTGCAATGCGGACAATTTCTGTGAATCGCTGTTTGGCTCAGATACTCAGCTCAGCACTAGAAAGCTGGGTTTCAAAGGCCAGCGGTAGTTCTGCTCCCAGAGTAGGAGCTCAGGAATTCTTTGCTGCTCTGAAGGCACAGGCAATGAATACATTCAAGCGCTACTAGATAAGGAAGCCTGTGTAAACAGGCGGTGGGGTCAGTGTAGTCAAAGAGAACAAACACCAACCAGTCTAAGGGCAGGTTAAGGTGTTGGCAAGGTAGTCAGTCTCTTCTGCAATGACTGTGCCTGTGGAGTCAGGACACTAGCCAAGTAGCCCAGACACTTCAGGGGAAGCCAGGCTCTGTGCTCAGTGATGCGTGTCTTCCTCATCTCTGAGGAATGTGGGGCGAAGACAGTACTGTGTCCCTCTTCTGTCTCTTTGGCCTTTTCTTGGTAGCTGTTTTGTAATCTCTCAAAGAAAAAAAAGACTTCTAAAATCTTAGTAATGTCTTTTTCTATTTTTTTTATTTTTGTCACACTGCATTCTTTTACGTGAAGAAGAAAGACACTCAACTGTCCTGAGATTTCTGATCCTCCAGGGAGCTGCTGAGGACAACAGAACACAGCAGTCCCTTTTATGTGACGGAAATGATCACCGCACTGCCTAACAACGTGTTCAAATGTTACACTTTCAAGAGACTAATAATACAGTCACAGGTTACTCGGAGGAGAATGAAGCTTGTTACCAGAAAGCCAAACAGTGTGAATCCATTTGAATTACACACTTGCGTCTATTTCCTGATGCCAAGCATTTCTCCTGAGGGGAGACATCTGCAGACTTGTAAGTATCGTTTTCAAGACACTGAAGTATTGGTTAGCCAGAAATCCTGATTCTAGGAAGCCTGCATTTTCCATGAGGCCTGGCGAGGGTCATGCAGCAAGACAGGACAGGGTGACCAGCTTCTTGCTCAGGGATTCACTGAAGCCTCTTGCCAGTGAAGGAGCAAGGACTCCAGCACAACCAGCACTTGTAAAAAGCCTCTCTGGAAACGTCACTAGCAGGGAAAGGATGTGGCTTAAGCCTCTCGGGCAGTCCTGCTGGCTTCTGGCTTTATCTTATCAGATCTATCCAGGGAATCTCTGGAGCCAGCCACTCACGTCATTTATAAAAGGAGAAAAGGGTGGAGTGGAGTGTGTAAAAGGTTTCTCAGCAACTTTTTGAGATAATAACTTCAGAGAGCCACAAAAATGGCAGATGGCTACAGCTACACAGCCATGACTGTCCCTTGAGGAGCCTGACCTGTGTGTGCTTGGGTGTGGCTCGCTTCCTATCTCTATGCTTAGGCGGCTGTTACAGCCGAGCACCTCGCTTTCTCTCTTAGCCCTAATTCCCAGGCCAGGATTGAAACCTTTTCTTTTTTAAATAAAATCTCTAACTTCACTTCACATCTGGTATCCATGAATTTCTTTTTTTGGGTTCAAGCCATAAACACTAGTTTGCCTTGTATCAAGGTCCCTAACCCATTCTCAGGCTGCCGAGGGAGACCATGTGGAGCGGTGTCTCTGCCCCCTTACTGATGACACAGAGGTTCCTTAAGTTTTAGCTTTTAGAATCTGGACTAACAATGAAGGAAAAAAATTTCTTCAAGTTAGGAAAGGCTTAAGGACTCAACTGTCAAGGGCCTGGTCTATCCTTACAATTATCCTTAGCTCTGCACTCCTGCCTTTCCCCTCATTCCCTGGTCCAGTCTACACTGCAGACTACCAGGAGACAGGGCCTGCTGACCCAGGATCAGAGACCAGCAGTACAAGACGCAGAGAAACACCAAGGCTTTGAGCCTTAAGGGTCTGAGGGAGATACGATAGAGAAAGCCTATATTCCTCCTATATCCAAACAGAAACTTCCTATAGAAGCCGTGATGGCCAAATAATTATTAATTAGCTGATGGAGAAGAAATCAGATTCTATTGCTATGATGAGACAGACACCATGACCAAAACAGCTTACAGAAAAAGGCATTTAATTGGAGGCTTGCTTAGATTCAGACAATGAGACCATGACCATCATGGTGGGAAGCATGGATGCAGGCAGGCACTGGAGCAGTAGCTGAGAGTTCTCATCTTAACTGTAAGGTGGAGGCAGAAAGGGAAGACTGGCCAGGTGTGGGATACTGAAAACCTCAAAGTCCACCCCCAGTGGCATATCTCCTCCAGTAGGCTACACCTCCCTACCCTTCCCCCAAACACTTCCAACAACTAGGGCATTCAAATATTAACTTAAGGGGGGCATTCTCATTCAAACAATCACACCAGATTTACTGTTTTGTTTTGTTTACAAAGTAACTTAGAGCTGGGTATGGCAGAACATGCGCCCTGCTACTCAGAAGGCCGAGGTAGAAGAGCATTTGAAGTAATGACTTTAAGATAGTCAGAACAATATATGAGACCCTGCCCCAAAACACCACCCAAATACATGACAAAACTATAGCAAATTAATTTCATCTTCAAGCAAAGAACAACAAATAAGTTATTGATTTGTTAGCCAATGTCATCGCCATTTCTATCTGCCACCCCTACCATCTGAAGTTGTTTTCTCTGGTGCTTTTTGGAACCAGGGCTGGGAGGATTCATTTGGGATCTTAGCTGTCTATCATAGCTGCATTTTTCTTTAGACTCCACATAGAGATGGTATGACATGGGCATGATGGCATGTGTCTGCAGGGTAAACTGGGAGGATTATTTGAGTTAAGAATTTATAGCTCATTCTGGCTCATCCAGAAAAATCTCACTTCAAAGGAAAAAAAAAAAGAATCACGGTTGAGATATCAGTCTGAAGATGGAAGGCCTTTAATGAACTGCCTGAATTCTCTTAGGAATTGGGCATGGTGGCTCGAACCAGTAATCACAGTACTTGGTGATAGAGACAAAAACAGGCAGAGCTGTGAGTTTGAGGCCAGTCTGTCTACACAGAGTGAGTTCATGGTCAGCTAGCACAAAAGACTGAAAACAAAGACACACACGCATTTCTTTTTTTTATTGCAGAGCTGGCTACATCCCTGTAGCAATGTAGCCACTGTCCCAACAGTTCCAGACAAGCAGGACGTGAGCAAGGGTGTCTCTTCCAGTTCAGGGGTTAGAGGCTAGCTTGTGCAAAATGGCAAGAGTCCACTGAAACCTTCAGGTGGAAAAACAAACAATTAGAATTCCTCAGTATGATTTAAATAAGGAATCCCAAGCCATTGTACCTCTTAGCTTTTCATTGGTTAGGGCCAACAGCTTCTTTCCTTACTGAGCCTAACTGCTCTTTCTTCTTAAAATATTCCTTAGATGACAAACGCATTTCCGCAGAAAATTTGCATTTTTATGTTTATCCTTTGCTGAAACCTATGATTCACAATTATCAAATTCTTTAACTAGCACTCAAAATAGCCATCTCCTCTGTGCGGTAGAAGAGAGGACTGGGGAAGGCCACAGACAAAGCGACACAACTGGACTGAGTTACCCAAGCAAAGAAAAAGGGGAGGAGGGAGCTGGGAAGGGGAGGAGTCAAAAGATAACTGTGTGTGTTGGGTGAGGGGTGGGGTGGTGGTGACAGGAATGAAGGGTGAGAAGTTACAGGCCTCACATCAGAGAACTTGGAATACCACGCAGAACACAGATTCTTCTCCCGGAGATAGCAGTGCGACCCAAGGTATTTAAGAAACAACCGACACTTGGTAGCTGCCTGGGAAATAGTGAGGCCAGATTTGAGCAGCCAGGGGTCCTTATCTCAAAGTGGACTTTTCCTTCTTGACATAAAGAATCGTATCTCATACTGCACTTCTAACAGACCCGCAGCAGCCCGTGACAAGTTAAATGCTCATGAGTTATTCCGCTCAGACATCCAAAATAGCCTACCTACACAGACAAGGTCAGCACGCACTCCTGCAGGCTGACATCTGCCCCATGCTTCACCACAGTGAAGCCAAAACTGTGAGGTCAGTGGTCACACATGTCCTTGTCCTAGGTGGACGGCAGGTGCCCAACACCACTCCTCCTCCATTTCTGGGTGTGTGGTGAAGATGGGAAGCTGCTCTCTACAAAAACATACAAGGCTCGTGCTGAGTGATCAGGAATCTGATATCCTGTTGAGGTTGATTCTATATTTGGGTAATATATATTTATTCTTTTCTTATTTGTATGACGTGTACATTCACCTGTGGTCTCTTGGTTCTCTATGATAAAATCATTTTACCTATCAAGAAAAATATTCATTAGTTTCTATCCTTCTATTTAAAAACTGGTAACCTGGGGGTTGGAGCAATGGCTCAGCAGTTAAGAGCATTGGTTGCTCTTCCAGAGGAGCTGGGTTCAATTCCCAGCATCCGCATGGCAGCTTACAACTGTCTGCAAGTCAAGTTCCAGGGATCCGACACCCTCACACTGACATACATGCAGACAAGCACCAAAGCACATAAAAATAAATAAATCTTTTAAAAAGTTTTTTAAAAAAATCTTAGAAAAAAAAAGGCAATCTGGGGCTGAAGAGATGGCTCAGATGGCTGGCCTTTCTGAGGACCCAAGTTTGGTTATCAGCAGCCTCATGGTAGTTCACAACTTTAACCTCAGTCTCAGAGAACCTGACGGCTCCTTCTGGCCTCCATGGGCACTGCACCCAT